TCTCTCGTAAGCATGAACGAGTATTCTGTGATAAGAAGATGTTAGTTATAATATACTGCGGTTGAGATGTGCGAGACTGAGTTTGTTTAGTTTGGATTTAGAGAGAACTATTCCCGAATTTATTTGCTTAATACGATAGAATACTGAACTATAATCTTTAATTCTAGTTCCGACAAATTTTCTTTTTCATAGCTTCTGCCGTCAGAGATCGGTTCTAATCTCGATGATCGAGAGCAGGACGAAAAATACTGATCTATATTGTCTTAGGAAAATTCTCTTGAAGACACAAGAACTTAATCTTACTGATCACTATTTCAGATTCATAACTTTTTCGATTTGCGATATCATCATGCTGATACGAAATGATTTGTGTTTTTCGTACGAATATATATCAACAATGCCTGATGACTTATTTAAAAAACAGCGTGAAGGTTATATGGTTAAAAAAAATAGAAGTACCAAAAGGGATGAAAAGTCAAGGAAAGAAGTTTTGGAATGAAATAACAAATCATCAATTTTGTTTTGATCGATGTAAGAATAGAAGAAAAAATCAAGCATTAAACTATTCATAAATAAAACTCTTACTTTTTCTTTTATTTTAGCTCAACTTGAAGCTGAAATAACACAAACATTAGAACGTAATGATTTACTTCGTTTTTATGATCATTATATATCACCACATTCAATTTATCGACGTAAATTAGCACTTCATGTTAATCCATCATCATTAACACTTCAAAAATCTATTGATGAAAAAAATACTAACGAAAACAAAGATCAATTAGATGCTATGAATTATAAAAAATCACTTTCAAATACTGATAAAGAACGCACTCAAATAGAGGCTACTGTACCTGTAGATGTCAATCATGAAGCAATAAAATTAACTGAACAACTTGTTATGATTGATAATTTAATTGAATCAAAATTAAAACAAATCGAATAAAATTTATCTAAAAAAGGACTTAATTTACCAAAAGTAAAATTACAGTGAAAAAAAAGAAGAACTTAATTAAATTTTTTCTATTTCTAATAGATAGAATGGATTGACAATATACATATGTGGAAAAGTAAATTATCATGTTATCCACTGGCTCAATCATATGACAAAATTGAAGTACCTATTCTGTGCCAATTATAAAGAACGGTTTTATTCATAATCATATGTTTGCTTTTTTAAAATCATATATATTATCTTTTAATATTTCTATAATTCCTCAATTATTTCAAACAAAATTCCTTCTCTTTCTTTCTTTCTTTTTTTTTAGAATAAATATTGTTTTTCAACATTAGTTACGAAAAATATAAAATGGTTAAAGAACACGATTGGTATCCATATGAATTTTAATCCAAATAAATTTTATTTTTTGATAAAAATTTTATTCGATATATTGTTTTTCTATAGTACAACAGTCGTTGTTGCCAGCGATCATTATGTTGTTGTTGTAAAGTGCCACACATTTAACGGAAAATTATTCAACACAATCTCGTACACATAGCAATGTGTATAAAATGTATGAATTTAAATATCAAAAAAAAATGTTGAAGTTTGAGCCCCCTTCGGCATTGTGTGCATCTGGGCGAATATTTATCTAAAAATGAAAATCTCACTTTTTCAAGATTGGGAAATATACATGTACCTCGAAATAAAGTTTATCTAATGGTATAAATGATTTTGTTCTAACTATCGAAGAAAGTGAAAAACTAGTTGCCCAAAGATTAGCTTGAAAATTGTTATATCTCGAGGAAAAATTGATATCTGACAAAATTACACTGTCCAACAGACACATCAAGTACATTTTCTGAACATTCAAGCTGAGCTCTATAAAATGGTAAAAAATATTGTTTAATCCGCACGTTTAACTTCTGAGAAAAAAAGAATATGTTTTTCGACAGTATCATCCAAACGGCTAAGTCACATAAAATCATTGATTATCAATAACGTTTCATTATAATATATGTGCTACTGTCTCTTATTGTATTTCTGAAGTAAGTAAGTAAAAGGCTGGTGAAGAAATGCGTCCTAAAAGAGATAGAATAAAATAGTCTTCCTGTGATTAGCAACAGTAACTACATCGTATTTCACATTCTAATCTCATAGAGATTGAGCTAACAACATTTTTTTAGGCATAACAATTCGTTACTTTCATCAACAGCTTTTCTTCATGATGTAATTACACTTAAGAAACACTAAAAGGTCGTATTAAGGTTAGTGTGTAGTGAAAAATAAGTTCGGGTAAATTTTTGATAAAAAAAAAAGTGTGAATGTGGGTGTGGGTGTGAGTGAACAGATAACCGTCATCCACACCCCACCCCCACCCCCACCCACACCCATAAACTAATCAAGAAAGGAACTATAAAACTCACATTTTTTACGACATAAAATTTTTTTCATAAGACAATTCGACAAAACATTTACTTTTACAAATTCCACTTTCCTGATTAGAGATTGGAATTCATCGGCTCCGGAAATATCTTTAATCGAAATTCTTAAAAAATCAGTTCTTGTGACATAACCTTTTCATGAAGAACAAATCGAAATAAAACTATATTTGCCTGGTGCTTCTTACTTAATCACTTACTTTCAAATGAGTTCAGTGTTAAGTAGAAAAATTCGAATTTGATTTCAAGTATTAACTAAAACCAGTTAGCTTAATGAAGTCGAGTTTAAAAAAGCTGTTTAGTGTAATCTATTCTGGATCAAAATGTGAAACGGAACAGAGTTTCTTCACGTTTTACTCGAGTTTTTGGTGACTTTTATTCCGACTGCTCAGTCGATAACAACGGTAGTTTGCCTTGTTGTTCAGCAATATTCGCTTGGACTTCATCATTATTCTGTGGATGTGCAGAGGTCAGCGCTTGTAGCTGTTGCCAAATGTAAAAAGAACTAATGAAAATATTTAATTTTTTTTATAGAAGAACGTGGAAAAGGAAAAGACGAAATCTGTATTGTGAACACTATTAGCCAGCGGACTATGTTCGACGATTGACCCCATTACAGAACGGGTTTTGTTTTCTCTACCTAGGGAATAATCTACACGTTGACCAATCACTTCCCTCAGAGAATGAAATATCTCTTTCACTGTTGTACTAAACATACCATTTCTTTTATCAATGAGAAAGAACATGAAAAAGAAAAAAAATGAAAACAAAGTCCTTTTCCCAGAATAATCAAAAATTTTCATAGATATGTTTGTTCATATGAGCAAATTGATATCCTAACTCTCTATTGAAAATGAAAGAACAATAACGTCATCTAGATAGTACATTTTTAATATAATTAAATAAGTAGTTTGTCACGTCTTGTTTTGTCGAAATCTTTTGAAAAGAAATTGAATCAACGGATTTATGCTATATAGTCTTTGAAGTAAGTTAAATGTCATCAAAGAAAATGCATAACATTTCTCAGTTGAATTTTATTTATCGATACAAAAAATTGAATCAATTGTTTATTTTAAAATCCATGCCTTGATTATCGCAAGACTAGCTACAGCAAGAATGGCCAACCAAAAGAAAAATAATAGCAGGCCAATCATAAAATAAACCATGGGTCGACTCCATTCCTAAAAAAAATATGAATAATGATAATGTCTTTTCCTGGTTGTTAATTCATGCAGTCAACTATAAAGATAGCTTCAATCAAGAGAAAATTTATTCTATTATAAATTATGTCAAATATCTCTCAGTTACATCTTTACCGGTTTCTCTTTGACACAGTCGTACAAAACGTAGAACCAATGGCCAACTTCAAATGTAACGAGCCAAACAAGTACGATAAAAATAGCAAGAGAAATTTTAATGAATCGTTTGCGTTGATACCACGGAATCGAAGATGGCTCGTCTTCTACAATAAATGATAGCTTTTCATATGCTTTTTTTTAACAATAATTATACAAACTTCTTGTACAATAGTAATTGATAAGAGTAATTATCTTTATTTTCGGTTCATTAACGACACACCATTGGACTAAGAAGACTATAACACCTAACAAGCCAATAAGTGGAATAATGGTTATAGAATAAGAGCCAAGTATTTGATATCGATAAAAAACAGCCTAATTTTTAAGGAGAAAAAAAGGACGAATTATATGCAAAGTATTTTTCCTATGAGTTTCTTTACATCTTTCGAAAGTGTACTAATATTTTTCGCACCAAATGAGAACATTTCACACACAAGTATGTAGAAAGAGAATCCGAAAATAATTGCTCCAAATATTTTTCCGCATCCTAGGTGATTCTACAATATAGAAGTTTGCTCAAATATTGACATTATTTATTAATAAAGTGTTACCTGTGTTTTTATCAAATTTTCCTTCGACTGATTTGGCGATAACATCGGTTGATTTTCTTGTTGTGGTGCAACAATATCCACTTTGATTTCATCACAATTCTTCGAATCTATAGCGATCATCGTTTTGCTATCGAATCTGAATAGAATTAAAGAAAAATACGACCGACTTTTTATAGAATGACATGAAGACGAAGAACAGTGAACCTATATTGTGACCGCTTTCGTAACTTGTTCGACCATTGGCGTCACAACAGACGGACAACATTTTTGTTTATCTACCCAAAGTTATCCATTAATTTCCTCTTTTGCTCCTGAATATACACAATGTTAGCGCGAAATTATGACAAACACATTAGAATAAAAAATATTTCAGAAAAATAGTCTTGTTTTTATCACTCGAGCGAACCAAAACCGGATCGATCAATCCCGCCGAAAAAAAAAGAAAAAAGCATGATAACAGTGAATGAATAATATTTTGAGACAGACGCGCAAGGGGGAAAAAAGCAAATTGTGAGTTTGTGATTTAAAATGAGTTTATGTGAGTTTTGTGATTTAAAATGAGTTTACTTAAGTTTTATGATTGAAAATGAGTTTATCTGAGTTTTCTGAGTTAAAATGAGTTTTTGTGATTTAAAATGAGTTTAAAGTCGATTTAAATCAGCTTTAAACTCACTTTAACTCAGAAAACTCACATAAACTCATTTTAAATCATATAACTCAGATAAACTCATTTTCAATCATAAAACTCAAGTAAACTCATTTTAAATCACGAAAATCATTTTAACTCATTTTAAATCATAAAACTCACATAAATTCATTTTAAATGACAAAATTCACAGAAACTCATTTTAAATCATAAACTTACGGCACGCTATTTTCCGATTTATAGTGAGTTACAATTGACTTAAAGTGATTTTTGTGATTTAAAATGAGTTAATGTGAGTTTCGTGATTTAAAATGAGTTAAAATGATTTTCGTGATTTAAAATGAGTTTACTTGATTTTTGTGATATAAAATGAGTTTGAAGCTGATTTAAATCAGTTTTTCCCCTTTGCAGACGCGCATCAACTGCATATTGTTCAATGAATCCTATGACAAACATAAAAGTCAATGACCAATCACAAAGTAACGTTACGCTAGCTACAAAAAAGAGACCATGGAATGATTCCGAACAATAGAAAAGTCTGTGGCCTTTCAAATAATCAATTGAGAGATCTGAAAATTCGTATCGTAAACTTTAAATGTACCGGCTTGCCTTTGGTATAGGCATAAATAACGTAGAACGTAGGACGAGTTTCAAACAATGCGAGCCCAATGAGCTTGATATGAATACTAGTGATAATTTTAGCAAACCATTTTCTTTACCACCATGAAACTGTAGATGAATCGTCTTCTATAATAAATAATAAATTTTAATATACTATTATTTAGCAAATATTGTACAAACTTACTAGACAATAGTAGATGGTGATAACAAAGATCTTTAACATCGATGCCGATCACGAAACAAAAGCCGTTTATATGATATCGATAAAGCATAGTCTAAATTGAACAAAAACCAAATGATGATTTGTGTTTAGAGTTGGTTCTCTAATGATTTGCTTATGTCGCTGGAAATTGTGTAGATATATTTCAAACTAAATGAGATCATTTGA